TCTCGCTCATGTCATCCATTGGGGAAGAGACATGCCGGTTCAAATCAAAGGTAAACCGAGGAGATTCAACCTTGGTGGCAAACAATTCAAGTGACTTGTCTTCCGATTGGGATACTTTTTCCTTGTATACATCCCAATGCAAATCCGAGGTGATAGGCATACTTTTCAAGCGAGATTTGGCTCCAACTCCAACATCATACCTTCCTATTAACTTAACATCAACATTGGTGTCCATCCACTTCAAGACTTGTCTCATTTTTGCAACAACATCCTCATAGCTAGGGCTTGTATCAAAAACCAATGGTTCCTCACCCGTGTCGGCATTGTTACTCAAGAATGCCTCCTTGTCAATGTAATGAACATTAACAAGTCTCTCCATCTAAAAATAACATGAATGCATTTAAGACTTCAATGAGAATTGGTGTTTATCCAAATACATCTTATTATATCCAAATCATATCAACACTAAATTATTGGTGATGTCCACAAAAGTATCACTAATTAACACACACTAAGCAAAGTTAACCCTAATCACTAACTAACCCTAACCCCCAATCTTTCTACTCAACAAGCATATATTCCTACTACACACCATGCATAGCACTATATTATCAAAGTTAACCAAGCCATTCACACTAACATAAGGGGGAGAAAACATGAACTAGGGTTCCACCAACATGTATAAAATGCAACCAAAATAACAAGACTTAACAAAAAAAATTGGATGATTTGGGGGAGATTAACAAGAGCAACAAACTGATGGAAAGATCCACCTAAGGGATGTACCTTTTGGAGAGGATTTGAGAGGGGAGCTTGAGGGGTGAGAGAGAGTGGGGAGGCAGCAGCTCTTCTTCAAGCTCGGGCTGGATTGGGAAAAGTGTGTGGGGTGGGACCCACACACTCTCCCGGTGGGGTTATCCACTTACCGGGGCCAGACACCAGGGTCCCTGGCGTCTGGCCCCTTTGCCACGTCAGCTGGTCAACGGGCAGGCGGGCAGTGCGGGCCAGGGGCCAGACGCCAGGGACCGTGGCGTCTGCTTCACAACCCAGACGCCAGGGACCTTGGCGCACCAAAAAAGGTCATAAACGAATTTTTTTTGTAAACGAGGTCAAATCGGGATTTAGATTGCCAGAGAGGTCATAACAGTAATTTTGTCCGGCTTAGGGCACATGATGCCTGCGTGGGTAGCTACATGCATCAACTGTGTCTCTGGTTGTGGGGTCGTAGTGGTTGCCTAGGGTCGTACCGTCCGGCAACATTGTGCCATGGGTGGGCGACACACGCCACTGTGCCTGCTGGAGTAGCGCATACAAACACAGATGGTTGCAAAATGAGTGCGCGCCTATGCATGCTAATTATTTCGATTAGTCAGCGTTTCAGCTGATCTTGTCGATCGTTAATTCCACCTTCCAAAAACAAGGAAACTACGCGTATATAGATGGATATACATTGGAGTATTGGAGCAGATGGTTACGCATGTACTCCAACATTGGCATGCAACTAGCTCGCTACGCATGTGGTTGAGTTGAAATGCTAAATTGATCGATCTGATCTGAAACGCGCACGGACGGACAGACGGACTTACATACAGCATGTAGGATCGGTGTTGTTGGTTCATGCATGCATGCATGTATGGACGAATGAATCATGTTCCCTCGCTGTTTAACGAAATTGAATCGTCTACCACGCACGTAGCATAGCTTAGCCTTAGCGTTGCTTAGAGTATGGGGTCAGCCAGCCAGCCAGCTCACCCGTTACATTACCATTGGACTGATCGATCGATCGCCGCACGGATGGATGGACGCAACGAGAGAAATCAGTTCTCCCCTCGGCTCAATCATCCTTTGCCTTTAGTTGGCACCGTGGGGAAGAGAAGACAACGATGCACGTTGAATTTCCGTGTCATGCATGGCCCCTCCCACGTACGAGCGCATGCATGCATGCATGCATGAGTATGTGTGTGTGTGTACTGAGATGAGCTATGCATCGATAGCTATATTAATTTTGCAGCTTGCCCATGCAGCGGCACCAACCATCGATGGATCGTTACAGCTACATTTGGTCCGTCTAAGATATGGTTCCCTGTGCTGTGAACTACTCGTAGGAAGGATATGAGAAAGATCGGGCCGCCGCATGGAACCGGGTGCTTTTGACTCACCAACTACGGCTCCGCCGGTGAAGAAGAAGCCAAGCGCAAGCGCGCGCCCGCCGACCAGCGCCGTGGTTTTCTCCTTTCTGGGATACGCGCGGCACGGGAGAGCAGGCAGGCCGGCGGCACATTTCCATCAACAAAGTCAAATCAAGTGGATGGGAGGGAAGATGGGAAGCGAGGCCGGCCGTAGGTGGGCATCATCGATCAGAAATGTGACGTACGGGCCAGCCTGGCCCCAGATCATGCATCCGGTGGTGGTGGTTTGACTATCAACGCTAGGGCCCCTCAATGTCCTACTAGCGGCTATAGCTAGCTAGCACTGTGGTATACGTGCTCACGGATCGAGCTTCGAGCACTATAGCGTTGAAACCAGGAGCGAGGTTCCTGGCCGCCCAAAATTTTATTCGAAAGAGGCTGGTTGTATGAGAGGGCAAAATCACAGCATGCGTCCACGTACAGGAACTAGACTTTGAGCAAAGTAGAGTGCTACAGCTATACTAGATAAAAGTCAAGGATCTACAATGGGTTTGGAGCAATGACAGTATGGCAAAGGTATCGGCATCGAGGCGCTGACTCGTTTATGTGCTTTCATATATGCCACAAGCATCAACATTGGTGGAGAATTCGGATAATCAAAACGGATTCATACAATAATCAATCTTCATAAGCATTGGGTCTCTTTGTTTTGCAGGAGTTCCGCGTATATAATGGCCTAGGGCCTCCTTGATTCCAAGGATTTCTAAATGAAATTTGTGGGATTCTAACCTTTATACTTTCTTCATTCATACAATGGTTGTTTGATTCATAGGACTAAAATCCATATAACTTCTTCCTTAGGATTTATTTGTACTAACTTTCATATGAAAATTGCGATCCACCCGCATCTCGTGTGAAGAATCCTACGTTATGTGCAATCAAACGTACACACTTATCCTATTGGATTGAATATGGTGTGCCAATCCATTCATATGTTTTCCATATTCCTGTGTTTTGAAAATCCTGCAAAACAAGGAGGCGCTAATTTCTCAAAGGTTCAGGAAGCATTCAATAGTTTCATATAAGAAGTTGAAAACAATAAAGAGAGAAATAAAAATGTCAATTTTCCGTGGAGTATTCAAGTCTATGGGTGTTGCAATTTATGGGGTTATATGTTTTTCTTTTCCAAATTGTCACCAAAAGAGAGAATCCTCACCTAAATGTAACCAATGGGGCCATGTCAGAGGGAGCCATACTCCCGTCGCAATTTTCCTCTTGTGGCAAATAATCAAAGTACATCAACTCAAACAAACTAAAGCAAACCAAAAGTGGACGATACATGTTCATGATAAAACATAAACTTCCATCAAGGTTTTTCAAAGTCAACATCTCCAGGTTAACTGTTTGCATCTTAATGTTCTACCATGGATTAGATAAAAGAAATTACATAACACAAAACATACACAAAGCTAAATTTACTCAATGTTTTTGAAGACATGCATGAATTACCTACCTCAATAGAGTGAGAATCTAAGACATTGATCATACTGTAGCGGGGGATAGACCCCTTGTGAGGAAAGTTGTCAAAACATTGCTTTATCGCCATATTCTCGGTGAAGTTCTATATCTCGACTGAATAGCCTTCGACGAAAACACAACTAACACTATCCTCAAGGGCACCAAGGCTAAGTGGCGGGGGACATTGCTACCCTGATTTAACCATAACTACCACTACTTCTTCGACATATGATCAAAGAAATGATTGCCAAGCAAAAGAGCATGATTAGGTCTTGAACAAGAAGTTCTCTCACATCAATTTGGACCCGATAGAAGCTATAGAACAAGTCCTCAGGTGCTGAACTGAAATTCAGACAATTGAGATATACCTGACTTGGGACGACATTGTCTTTAGACCCGAACTCTGAATTGAGATAAGCTTTCCAGCAAGTCCAAAACAACTCAATTCAAAGTTCACCCCTTGGTCTTACATAGGTAGATCAACCTCGTAGCGTTTCTTCTGTTTGATTGAGTTTTAGTGGTTGCTACTTTTTGCCATAGACACGAGAATCGGGAAGACCTCTTGGTACTACTCATGTTCAGTGTCCCGCTGTGTCAATCAAGTACTTCAATTTATATCTGTAGCTCAAATTGTACATCTTAAATTCATGCTTGTTATTTGGTTGCATGCAGGGATTATGTTCTTTGACAAATCAATTGTGTTTTCAACACCGTCAATAATCATTACCAAATTACCAAAGTTGGTTTGGCGATCGCTAATTCACACCGTCTTAGGGTTTGTTATTATCCAGACGCTGTCAACTTTTTCATGGAAAATTCTCATTGTGGTCTTTACGTGTGCACAGAAACAGAATGCTCAGTGTGAACTTCACATTCTGACTCTCTATCGACGCGGCGGTGAAACCACACGCAGTCAGTCAGTCAGTCAGGCAGAGCGCTCCAAGGCAGCTCACCGGTCCCGGGACACGCTTCCCGTCATCCGAGACAGGTCAGCACGCGCCCCGCGCCTCTGGCGTCCCGCGTGACATCCCCCGTGAACACGTGGCGGCCCGGCCCGGCGCTTTTCCGCATCCGACGGTGGCCCACCCTCACCGCGCGTCTCCCGCTGGCCATCCCCGTCTCGGCCCTCCTCCTACTCGGTCTACTCCCGCTATATATTTGCCCAGTGGCTCAAGCAGCCACCCCGGTAGTTGTCGCTCGCTCGCACCAAGAAATACATACATACCACAGCTCTACTGCACTCGCTCCGGTTGATCCATCGGCCTCGAGGTGGGATCCAGCGGCGGCCAGCGGGGTCAAACAGGATCGGCACGAGGAGAAATCGCGAGGTCCGTTCGGTTGTTGCGCGGCGCGATGGGCGTGCTCTTCTCGTGTCCCGTGGAGGACGACGGCGAATGCGGCCTCGTCGCGGCGTCGGCGGCGGCGGCGGAGGAGCAGCAGGCCACGTTCCTCAAGGCGTCGCTCGGCTCCGGCAAGCTCCGGATCGAGGGCTCCCTCAGCTTCAAGCGGCTCCAGCTGGTGGAGCCCAATATCTCAATCACCAGTGACTCGCCCCGCCCCGACGCCGTCGCGGTGACCGCGCCGGTCCCGGTGCCGAGGGAGCTCCTCCGGACGCGGTTCGCCGACGCGGCGGTTACGGCGGCGGCGCAGCCGGAGAGCCCCAAGCACGAGGCGGCGGCCGTGACGCTGCAGAAGGTGTACAAGAGCTTCCGGACGCGGCGCCGGCTCGCCGACTGCGCCGTGCTCGTGGAGCAGAACTGGTGGGAGCTGCTGGACTTCGCGCTGCTCAAGCGGAGCTCCGTCTCCTTCTTCGACATCGAGCGGCAGGAGACCGCCGTGTCCAAGTGGGCGCGCGCCAGGACCAGGGCCGCCAAAGTAAGCAATTTCTGATGAAATGCATCAGTCTGCTCTTCAAGAAATCTCTCTGATGCCATCTCCATCCCTGAAATTGGACTAACAAATAGTGTGATTTCAGGTCGGAAAAGGGCTGTCCAAGGATGACAAGGCTCGGAAGCTCGCATTGCAGCACTGGCTTGAAGCTGTGAGTACTTTTGTCAGAGAAACTGCAGAATGTTCAGTTAATTTTGATGTTTTTGCCAAGCAATGTGCTCATGTCACTGATGAAATTTCTGATGAACAGATTGACCCGCGTCACCGGTACGGCCACAACCTTCACTACTACTACGACTGCTGGCTGAGGTGCGAAAGCAGGGAGCCTTTCTTCTACTGGTGAGTGTCACAGCTCAACTGGTCGTGGTTGTTGGAATTTCTGAACCTTTGGTCAGATCAAGAGATGATGAAGTTGTAACCTTATGGACTGATCAGCATGTTTGGTTCTTTAGGCTCGACATAGGAGAGGGCAAGGAGATCAACCTCGAGGAGCGGTGCCCGCGGTCGAAGCTTCTCAGTCAGTGCATCAAGTATCTTGGTCCGGTAAGTTTTCGCAAACATTTTACACGGGATAAATGGATAGCTGGAGTAGAATGCAGGTCCATGAGAGTTCAGAAAGACTAATGATTCAAACTGTATATGTGTTGTCCCTGCAGAAAGAGAGAGAGGACTATGAGGTTGTGATTGAGGATGGCAAGTTCATGTACAAGAACAGCAGGCAAATCCTCGATACGTCGGGCGGTCCGAGGGATGCAAAGTGGATCTTTGTGCTGAGCACATCCAGGAATCTGTATGTTGGGCAGGTAATGTTCAGGCTTCATATTAGAGTACTATCAACACACAACATTGCATTTGACCTATCACCTATGTGTATTGGATCATCATCTAACATTGTCTAAAACTCTGCTTTCTGCAGAAGAAAAAGGGCACATTTCAGCATTCTAGCTTTCTCGCCGGAGGCGCCGCGTCTGCTGCGGGGCGACTAGTTGTTGAAGATGGAGTTCTGAAGGCTATCTGGCCTCACAGTGGGCACTACCGCCCCACAGAAGAGAACTTCCAGGAATTCCAGGACTTCCTCAGAGAGAACAAGGTTGATCTCAGCGATGTTAAGGTGAGCAACTATGCCGGTGACCGGTGATTGGGATAGAATGAGAAAGTTCCCAAATGTGCTGACAATAGGTTTATCCAATTTGCATTCTCAATTGTTGTTTTTGTGTGATTGTAGATGAGCCCAACTGAAGAGGATGAGGAGTTTTGGAGCAGGCTGAGAAGCATCCCTTCTGAGCGGTGCACCGATGCCGACAAACCCGAAGAAGAAATGGTTCCTGCTGCAGAAACCATCCCTTGCCTGGCACCTCAGGTCACTGAAGCTACACCTGAAAATGTCATCCAACTCCAAGAAACAAGCAAAGATCATAGCCAACCGGAGATATTAACAAGGCTGGATTCATCGAAAGGCGCTGTAAACATCGAAAAATCAACAAATTCCATGCCTGAAGATCATCAGGAAGATAGCGACGATGATCATTCATCGGTGCCAAGGGAGAAGATCATTGGGAGAGTCAACTCATATCAGCTGGGGAAGCAAGGGTCCTTCAAGTGGACCACCGGCGCCGGACCCCGGATCATTTGCGTCAGGGACTACCCGCCGGAGCTCCAGCACCGGGCGCTGGAGGAGGTGCACCTGTCCCCGAGGAGGAGCGGCAGGCCGACGTCGAGGTTCTCGTCGCCGCAGAGGGGCGGCAGCCCGATGTCGAGAGGGTGTGAACCGCTGACGCCGAGAGAGGCGTTCCATGCCACGCACCTGCAGCAAGGATTACTGATCAGTTTATGATGAATGAGCTATTCTTGTTCATCAGTTGTGCATATGGATAGAGGAATAAAGTCACCTATTGGGAGTAAAAAAGAAGTGCTCCTTGTGTAGATCTTGTAGTGATGTATTTATACGTGATGTTCAAATTGGACACAAGTACAGATATCAATACAAATTCTTTCATTCTTTGGTCTTTTATTCCCCTTCCGAGAGAATGCAATTTCCAAATTCAGAACTTGGAGTTTTAACTTTTAAGGCATTCCCATCAGAAGGAATGGAACTTTAGAATGCCAAGGTTTTTATCTCATAGAAATGCCCAGCCAAAACTTGTTGAATATTTATCATTCTACTAATTCATCAAAAGTTAAATTAAGGATTGGACGGGCATTATGCGCAAAAAAAAGGATTGTGCGGGCCTTCTTCTCACAGAGACAACACCCTTAAAAAATTAGCAATTAGCAAATGCTGCAAGTTTTGAAATTCCTATTTTGCAGGGCCTTCAAACAGAGAAGGCAACTTTCAAGATCATCGTATTTTGTCCCCATGTGCAACTAAAAGAATTTTAACTTCAGGATTGGTGGGGCCTTCTCACAAAGAGAATGACACCCTTCAAAAATTAGGGTATGCTGCTTAGTGTAGCGTGCACACGGTATTCTTTAGTAAAAGGCGAAAGAATAGTTCGCTCTGTGCTCACCACGCAGCTGCGTGCCTTTCACGGTTCGCACCACCCGCTCTTATATAGCCCTCGCTCCCCGCTCACTCACTCTACCCAAGCGAGGTGGGACTAATCGAAACGTCTGGCTCCGCCTCGTTTTGCTTCTTCCGCTGCCTCCTTTCAAGGAGAAGTGGCGGTCCACCGCAGTAGCAAAAGGCCCATGGGCCACAGCAGTGACGCCAATGGCCCAAGCAAAGCAGCCGTACTTTTTTTTTTGAAGGCGGATTTATATCGACAAGATCAGCTGAAACGCTGACTAATCAAAATAATTAGTATGCATAGGCGTGCACTCATTTTGCAACTATATATGTGTAGTCCGTATATGCTACTCCAGCAGGCACAGTGGCGTGTGTCGCCTAGCATGGAGCAATACCGCTGGCCGGTACGGTACGATGCTACGCAAGCGCTTCAAGCAGTTTTTTTTTTAAGTTGCAGTCCATGCTGGTGCTTGGCTTAGCTAGCCACGTAGCTATCATGTGCCCTAAGCCGAACGGTACGCGAGGAGCAGAGGCGTTGAGAAAAGATTCCCAGTGCGTAGACTTTTGCTCCATGATTTTTCGATCGGTTTAATTCTGCCGGTCTCAGTTATTCAGACTACTGACCTAAGCAAGTGCACATATGGAAATACTTGTACGTACATACTACTGTAAATGTTAAGCCATTATCAAGTCCATCGATAGACCATGCTGTTAGCTGACCTTTTTTTTCTTCTGAAATGCTGTTAGCTGAGTTTAGGTAGCAATGCTGGTTCACGCGCGCGGCGTCATGTGGCTGCAGCGCGCAAATAGTCACTAGTAGTACAACTGTACAACCGTACGTGCGAATCTATGGGCAAAGAGAAGAGAAAATTATTTCGACAAGAACCTTCCAAGAAGCTTCTTGGAATGCATCTTATCATCATGTGCGTATCCGTATATGGAACAACATCAAGCAGCCTGTATGTATTTGTGCCTAGGGTTCGTGTCATCTCTACTCCTAATGTCCGAGTTGATAGTCTTGTCTCACTTTGGTTAGTTTTTTCCCACCGTTCTTTTATCCCACCAACGCATTTAAACCGGATTTTACATGGTCTATTTTCGTCTCACCGGTTTATTTTTGACCCACCTCCCACCACCACCTCACATTGGTTTAAACCGGTTATCAATCTTTGGTAATGCAATAAAATCCACACGGGAATAAATCAGACACGGTCGTCAATCAATCTCAAACCTGCCAAGAGATTTGGTAACACAATAAATTAAAAGGGAAGTGTAAGGGGGCGTTCTTTGGTGATGCAATAAAATTCACATGGGAATAAATCAAATCACGACCGGCAATCAATCTTAAACCTTTTTTTTGCATGGTAATATGTGTCTCATTTATATCATAAAGATCATAGTACAAGCCACGTACATACCGACTTGACAAAACTGAAAATACAGCAGAACGCTAGCCTTTCCACAGAGGAAAACCAGCCAAGAAGTAAAATTACAAACAAGACTGAAGAATCCTCTGAGGTTGACACCAATGCCCGTCACCTGCCTCTGGCACCTCCACTAAAGGATAAAATGACGGATCACCTCCACACCCGAGCTCGACGCGGCTCCATCGCTGATATGCAGCTTTGCGGACCTCCAAGGTGGCTCGCCAATAAAAGCGAAGCCATTACCGTTGAATGAATCAGACCGGGGCAACACCCCGGACACGCCATCAAACTCCAGATCTGGCACCCCCGCCCAACTAAGACGTTGGAGGAGGAAACCATACCTGCCTGCCATGAACCACGAACCAAGATCCACCATCTTCCAGATGCCGCCGATGTAGACCACAATCTGCATATGCTCCTGGACTACCTCCCAAGCTCCGCGCCAGTGCTGGAGCAAACGTCGCCGCAGCGGCGGAGCCCGAGGACACAGGTCCACCATGAGGATGCCGCCGCCGCCGTACCATCCTTTCTTGCACAGTCTGGTTTCCAAATCCACCCCAAAAACGGATCGCCTCGTTGGGGAAGGATTTGAAGAATTATTATTCGATACCGCCATCGCCATCGCCAAAGCCATGACGATGAACAACCCAAAACTCTAAGACCTAAAACAATCCACACGCATGGATCCGGCGACCCCCCTCCCCCCACCATCACCGACGACAAAGGTCATCAGCGGAGGGGAGCCGTCAGAGGACGGCGGCGGAGCAAGGTGCCCTGGCGGCTGGAGACGAGATCGCCTTTTTTTTCTTATTCGGGAAGAGAGAAAGCTTAACTAACATCAATCAATCTTAAACATGTCAAGAGATTTGGTAACAGAATAAATTCAAATGGAAGGGTAGGGGGACGTTCGGATACATAAGGATGGTAATCTTCATCGCATGCATAAGTACTCCAGAATCAATCACGGTCATAATCTCCATCACATACATAATTACTCCTTCCTAACCATACGCCCATATGTACAAAAAAAATTCTAGCAGCTCTCACGATCCCAAACCTAGGGGACGCAACTTCGATGCCTTAAAGGCACCTGCCTTTGGGTCATTGACATGTGGGCCAGCCACCTGTTGGGCCCATATGTCATAGACACAAAGGTAGGTGCCTTAAGGCACCGAAGCATCGTCCAAACCAGGCGTCGAGACCCAAGCCTTTCAAACGGCACCACATACACCGCCGCTGCCATGTGAGCAGCCTCCATCCGTCATGTTGCCTCCCATGTTTTGGACAATGCTGCCTCTCATCCTCCTCATTGGTTCCTGCAGGCGGAGGGTACCCTGGTGATGCTGACGCCCAGCTAGCGGCCAATGCGGGTCGCGTCCACTCCTTCGCCCGTCCAAACTGTAAAGAAGAATATCAATGCATGTAGTTGGGCGGCTTGGGGATTGGAGTAGGGTAAGCAAGGGAGCGGAGAAACACGTGGCATCCGGGCAACGCACGACGACGGGCCATCCACATCCGGGGACCTCGGTTTAATCACATGGCATGACGACAGCCTGCCCGCAAGCGAGCGCCAACGGATGGAGTCCGGGTGATTTTGAGGAGTACAGAGTTCGCTGCCAATGTGGTGTACACAGTTCGTCTTCGGCATCAGGCAAGCAAGATGCATCACAAACACGACAATTCTTTGTGGATTCTTCCTCGCTATTTTCTCGTTCCTGCTCATGGTGTTTACACTAGGTCGAGTCGCCTCTTCCCTCTACCCCATGCATGGCTCCCTTAATATCCATGCATGACATTTCAGTCTCCTCGGTATGAACTCTATATGTTTGTGTTAATATCTCGATGAACTCACTTTGTTTGAAGACTGCAACATTTTGTTTAACCTCCAAAGGTATTGTGTCTACTCAAGTAAATATTACAAGAAGATGATATATATGTACCAAAAGATGACATGTCGGTATCATGCATGCATATTTTTGAGGTACTACAATATAGAGGTGTCATCTTCGGTACACTTTGTCAGGCCATGCTGGTAGAACGCGGTGATATTGATAAATAACTAATGACTACTAAATTCCAACACTTGTTTGACCAATTTGTCTGCAGTGGTGGCTACAACACTAAGATTGATGACCTGGACGAGCTACAATACTGAACGGATGAAGATTGTCATGGGAGGCTTCGCAGCAGCATTTGGTGCAGCGGAAGTTTTTGCACAAATCAAGCCTCATATAATAGATGTACTTCAGTATTATGTTGTGTGAGCATCCTCTTTGTTTAAATGCATTTTCTAATGATTCCCTTTCTCACAGGTCCATCTTATTGCCATTGTCAGTGAGAATATGATTAGTGGCACATGAATGAGACTGGTTTACATTGCGACTACTTCTAATGGGAAGATAACTGAGGTATGCTTCTTGTAATAATTCTATTAAATACAAGAATTTGAATGATGCATGGACCATTGTGTGACACGTATCCATTTTTTCATTGTCCAGTTTCCCCGCTGGTTTTTATTTGACATTGTATTCATTTGCAAACTATGTTCATTCAGGGAAATAACTTTGATGCTAGGGAGGAGCAGAGTTCAAATGCAAGAGGAAGCAGGATCAGTAAGCTTCTTTTTCTCTATTTGTTGTAACCTTTTTTATTCTTTCCTCTCCTCTTTGCAACCATGATCTAACACCTTGGGCATATTTCTTCTTAAGGCATATTTCTATCACTTCTCCTGTCGGAAACATCTCATACCGTATGTTTGTCCACTCTCGCCCCTTAGATACAAGCTTAGCATAGTTTGATGCTTCCATTATATAAATATATATCAAATAAAAATGAAAAACTTCAAGCATTTGCAATTGGGATTCTATCTACAAATAATAGTAATATGCATCATCGATTGCA